AGTACGCCCCATTAATTTGTGTATATTTTGTTGTATGTTTATAACAAACAATATTACTTATGCCACTTTTATTTGTTCACAATGTTTGGTAAATTCAAAAAATAATTTAATTCGAAAATCCAAATTTATTCTATATCTATAATGCATACTATTTAAAATAGTGGTTTCATGTAGCTACGAATATAAATTAAAAAAAAATACTTTTTGCCTATACAATAAATAATGCATTTCAATAAATACAAATTTATGACTATTTGACTGACTTAAAACATTTAATAATTATTACAATAAAAAGTGTTCATCTTAAAGAACCTAAATAAGCAGGGTTAGTTAGTTTCAGCATGATTCTCATGTCACTATAACTCTACCAAATTTAAAACGTTGCCTAATCCCTTCAAACGTTTCGGCAGTACAACTTTTTAATTTTGTCAGATTATGATTTATTCATAATAGTCAAAATACGTAATCTGGGATTGTCATTAATTGTGAATACTACTGCATTTCTTGTTGTTTTGCCATTTTCGGTGATTGAGTAATTACTGTTTTATTGTTGTTTTATTTTAGTTGTTATCTTTTTGTTGTTAAGTTTTGCTAAATTGCGGCCCGAGAGTCCTACAACAATTACCTTTGACATTTTAGCGAGTTTTTCCAATGTCTTAATCAATAGTCTAATATCTGAATAAATGTTATAACAGTAACAATAAAAATTTCATTTTGTTTACCTTTATTTTCTGGGCATAGATATAACTAAATTATATTCTAATTATATACACTTACAATTAGAATCAATCAAAACCACAGATAGGTAGTTTTATTTCCATATTGGCTCTGAGTAAAAGATGAATTTAGAAAATGCTAGTCTCATCTCAACCCCGAGAAAATGTAAAATTGCCCAACTCTTTCGGACTACCCAAAGTTCAAAATTTCAACAAAACTATTATAAATATTTTTTAATTTTATCTTGTAAATAAAATGTTCTGCACTGCTGCTTCTGAGAGCCTCTTTTTTCTAATGTTATAATGAATGGAGTATAATATCCTACTAACACTTATGTGTTAAGGAAATAATAATTAAGTATATTAAATCATGTTTACTTAATCTAATGCATACATATATATGTCACAGTTGCTAAGTGACATATGTTAGTTTGCGTTAGATTCAGATGCTAATATTTACTTTTAATGTTTACCCCCCTAATTACTTTGTAAAGAAGAGTCACTAATTGAACAATGATCTTTATCGATATTCAATAAATATAAATTATTGACATGACATTTATTAATATCATTTTTAGTATTAAACGGCGCAGGTAAAAAAAAGAAAAATATTAATTAATTTTCTTTTAAAACACAACACGGCATATAAAAACTTAATATGCGTTAATTACTACTAAATAACAAAATGTGATATTTTAATTAATGGTAATGAATCGTAATTAGCTTTGCACGTGCGTAATGTGAGGCGTAGGTATACATACATTTTAAATTATGACAATGGAATATAATTTAATATGAAATTATTATTAAAAAAATAACTTTAAGACCATATGATTAAATAAGTTTAACTGTGCTTGAACTTAACATTATTTTTCAAGATCTTATTAAAGTAATTATTTATTTATCTTACGACGTAACAATTATGTAATTATAATAACATGTTTAATTTGAATAAATTTTTCGATGTATATAAGTTATTACAAAGGCTTGGTAAAAACACAAAAAAAATATATTTTTCAAAAATTAAAAGACAGCTATAATAAAAAGTTTTTAGTAAAAGCTTAAAGTTTATAGTATTAAACAAACAGATTATCTTTTAAGACCACGTCAAAGGACAAGCGACCGTATTTTTTTCTTTCTAATAACCAACCGAACTTTTTACAAAGCTTATCTGTTAATTAAAAAAAAAACACCCTCAAACTCAATGGACCTCTTCGATTTGTTAACTGTTAAGCTTCAAACGAACGCGTTTATTTTTTTTTTATTTCATAGATAACGGAGTTTTTATCTTAATGATCCCTCGTCTAGAGATAAGCTACCATTTTTTTTAAATGAAACATATATTTCTGTCATTATTCCCGTCACGGACATGAAGTGGCAACGGATCCATTTCAATCTCGAGTTATTATACGACCTTTATCTAAATTACTGAGCATGTAACAGAATTTAAACGATAAATAATCAACAATCTCACTTCCAATTAGAAGATTATATTTAATTGAGCGGTGAGTGGTCCTCTTAGGTGTCCTATTTCAACTTAATATATAGAGATACACTAGAGATATCTCTTTTTCTGTCAACCAACATCAAATGAATTTGACGCACTGTACTTGCATAGTTATCGTTTTTTAAAACGCAGTAAGTTACAGATTCATTTTTCTTTATTCATTAAATAAATCTTCATTCGAATTCGGGCGAGTATTCACAGGCTAAGAATTTAATCACCCGTCTCTAAATGTAATATCTTCAATTTGTAATCCGCTTTATTAGACATTAACAAATATTATTAGCGTTTAATAAAAAACTTAATTTTAGCAACTAATAAAATTTAATTTTTAGTCACTTCGACATCCAATTTCTCTCCGTTAATTTGAGAATACACCCTTTTCAAACAAATACAAAATTCCTTCATTAATAACTAAATATATCATGGAACACCTACAGATAATCGAGAACCTCCGTTCTTTTAAGACTTGCTTAAAAACAACATGAAACATTTTGACACCACAAAACATAAATATAACTCTGGAGTGACGCCAACCAGGCTCAGTGATTTAGATGACTTGACGTCACCATGGTTCCTGTCTGCGAATGTAAACTTTATGTAGTCAACATTATGTGTCAGACTCATTTGATTTAAAGAGTATAACTAACGATAAATTAGAGTAACTCTACGATAAACGTTGAACCGCTTAATGATGATGTAACACGCATGATAACCGATTCAATATAATTCGTACCATCAAAACAGTAAAAAACAAATCATTATAATAATTAATGAATGCGATAACTGTAGTATCATACTGTTGAAATAAGACGATACAAAATATGTGCCGTAATGAGATTTTTAATGATTAATTGGTGCTTTATTTGTTTTGGCGTTGATTTGGCTCTATATTATAAATATTGAAAATATTAATAGTGAGCTAGTGATTTTAATATACATACCAAGGAGATATATATCATCATCAGCCCTCTTACGTCCCCACTGCAGGGGCTCAGGCCTTCCTTATGGATGGTTTAGGAGGATGGGCCATGACCCAATACGGATTGGAGAGTATTAACGACTGCAAATGCAGCCGGGACCAACGGCTTAACGTGCCTTCCGAAGCACGGAGTAGCTCGAGATAATAATTTTTTGGTCACCCATCCCGTGACCGACCCTTGCGAAAGTTGCTTAACGACAACGATCGCGGGCCGGGGCGCTTATCCACTACACCACCGACCCGAAGAAGAAGATATATATATATATTTGTTTATTCTTTGAAAAACGAGAGTATTGTGCTAGGTATACATAGAGTATAGATCAGTTTGTGATACAATTGCCTAAATAACTTCCACTTCTATATAACTTAGTCTAAATATAGAATTAATAAAAGATAAAAGCTTTGATAAAAATACATGCGGTGTAATATAAAGTAAATATATGTATAGTAAAAGCGGCGGTGGTGAAATTTTCCATTTATCAAAACATCTATTTTCAGCCGTCACTTTTGGGAGCTTTTAGAAAAAAAATATTTGTTTAACTTTATTAGTTTTTTTTAAATTTCGATGATTTAAAATTGTATGTATATATTTTAATGGTACCTATGTAAATATTACATGCTCATAGGTATGGGTATAAGGTGTATAAAACAAAGATAAGAAAAACCATATATCTTATTAGAATCAAAATAAATATTATTTAAACTATACATTATTTATTTAAATAATATCCATAGAGGAAGGTATGTATCATAAATAGAGTAGGTAGGTAATAAAGTAATTCAATTATTATTGGCTTATAAAATAATGTAGAGGGCTTTAACGGCTCTTTCTATCACTCCCGTGCAGCGCTTACGACTGAGGTACTAAATTCTGACGTCACAATTTAGTATATTTCTATCGCCGTCTATTAACGGTCTCATAATATACAAGAAAGTTATTAAGAAATTTGTCCTTATTGTGTAGTTAAACTGAAACTCAAGCCTGTATCGAAAAGATAATAAAACAGAGGTAATTTGAAAACTGATAATGTTTGATTAAATATAAAAACAAAATAAATATAAATGTAGATAGAAAAATATGCGTTACTAACAGATATTCATAGAGCTAAAAAGGTAAATTCTTAAACTAAACCCAGACTAGATGCTGAAACATAACGAAGCAGGAATTTATTGACATCAGAAATCTATGCTATCCGTGGTCGCCTATCAAAATTCAAATTCAATATTATTTATTCAGTCTAGGCTGTTACAAACACTCGTGAAATTCCTTTGCCCTAAACCTCATAATATGTTGTTCTATGTGACATATATGTTATACCTATACCTACATATTTCAGATTAATAAAAGTTTAATTCGATTAAACCTCTAATGCTCCGACGGCGCTATGATCGACGCTGTATTTTTAACAGAATAGCAAACCTAGATATTTTCTTAGTTCATGATTAGTCGGTCGGATATAAGTTTTACTTCACATCCCAACAAAGATTAAATAGATATGAAAACCTTTAAGTTTCACCTTGTTAATAAAGTAACCATTACAAATCATAAAAATCATATTATGAGGTTACGTTTTCAATTAATAAATATTAAAGCAACGTTTAATGGTGTCATAAAGTTAAAAAAATTCCATCCGATCGCATAACAAAATCCGGATTCAATTAACAAAGAGCAGCAGCTATAAGCGGTTTCAAACTAATCGATAATACTGTCAATTTGCGTCTCAAACTAGTTAATAATTAATTAACTAATATCAGTGTGTTTAAACATCACATTAATTACTCCCACTGGTACTACAGATTATGACTGTTTTAAAACAATACCATAACCTAAAGCAATACCATAAGATATATTAAAATATTGACATAAAATACTGTATAATACTACACCAAAATTGCAAAGAAATATATAATAGCGTTGCGAAAACTTATAAAGAAACAAAGTAAAGATAAAATTATAAGAAAAAAAATTAAAATACATTCATAATGAGATGCATATTATTCTATATAGTAGGATATAGGCGGGGACCATATATTCTCACGGCCACTATCTAGGAGCTTATTAAACTGTCAGACATTTTAATCATATCCATCATCGAAAATCGTTTCAACAAGTTGAACTTGAAAGGCTTTAAGAATATTAAGTATGCAAGTAACATATGGCCAAAGAATATTTGTAAACACGCATGATATCTTTTCGCCGGTTTAATAACAAATTCCATTAAACCAGTGCATGTCAGCAAATCCAACTGCTGGTTTTTGTGACCATTTCATGATATACAATTATTCGGATCAACAATAATGAATCATTAATTAACAAATGAATTAACTTTAGCGCCCAGACTTGAAAAAATAAACTAGCTCATTGAATATTTTCTAAATCATCTTACGGAGTTTGCGTGTATATTTGATAAGTGATATTATCTATCTTTTAATTGTATTAAAAAAAAATAATTTAGATGTACTGAAAATAACTTACCTCCTGGAAACCTATGGGGGAATATTCTGCCATGCCTGTTGATCAGCCAAGGATAAAGTTGATAAGACTCTCTCGGCACAGGCGCAGCAGGATGTGGAGGTGGATGTGGAGGTAGAGGAGCTCCGAAACCTTGTTGCTGATGTGCAAGTGCCGCTGCTAGCGCCGCGCCTTGGAAGTGCGCAAGGAACTGATGGTGATGGCTTTGGGCATCTAAATAAGGTAGCCTTTTGAGCTCGGGTGTAGGAAAAACAGCTGGCAATGCACTCGGTCTTAGTAGCGGACGAGGCGATGGACTTCTAGGGGACGCAACCGGCGACGGAGAGCCAGGACTTGCCAGCGGAGGTGACGCCTGTTTCGGCCGCTCCGACCCACCGACTATACTGTCTATGCTAAATCCGATCTTAGGCTTCGATGGCACCGCCACCACTGGGGTCGGTGCGAGAGGCATCATGCTTTTGCACACAACGAGTCCGTCACAAAAGTATCACCAAATTTCAGAAGCACATGTCACACAGAGCACAATCCATTTTCGTGACGCGAGCGCGCGATACGAACGCCGAGGTGGCGCGCGGCCGAATGAGCTCTCCGCTCCTGCCTGACGCGCGTTTAGCGAGAAAAAAGAATAACGAACATGGACGGCCGCGCTCTGATTGGTCCGTATTCCTATGGGTGTCGACGCATCTGCGAGCGTAAACTCTTTATTTTGATATCTGCGTTACTATTGGCTGAAAGGCGTGTAGAGGTGTTATTTGAATTTGGAACGCTTTTGGAGTGGGCGGTTTGAGTTAAGAGCTTGTGATTTAACCGGCCAGATGGAATGTGGCGGGAGATTTGTCGCCCGCGATGGGGACGTGGTGCTTTTGTATTTTGTTGGTTATGATTCAATTAAGGCGCCGAATGGGGAGGTCGGTGCGGTCGGTTTGCTCGTTTTACCAAGCGAATGGTCGGTCGTACTCGGAGTGCAACACTTTTTAATTAATTAAAATGCTTTATTAGTGTTAACGCGGCGATATACAGCCAACTTTGCTGATATTCCACAGTAGAAATTAATTGATCATCTTTAAATCGTGTATGGTGGGTACTCAAATAATTGCTGTTATCGGTATAACGTTACAATCGGATACTGAATTATTTTCTTACGCTGTTGTATTAAAATTTAATGAAACTCGATAAGGTTTGAATTTCACGCAAATTTTACGCCATCATAAACTAAACAGTGTTTGGTAAATAGTTTGATTTTTAATTAAAATTGTTATGATTCGTAATGTAAGCAACTGCACTGATCGTTTGGAGGTATTATTAATTGTATTTTTTCATTATATGTGTATAAGAGCGTGTTTTTTTTTAATTACGATAAAGATAGCAAATATATCGAGTAATTAACCTACTTCTTAGCTATTGGTTTTTTAATTATCCAAACCAAATATTTTTATATTAAATTAAATTGATTAATAAGAGATCAGTAATAAATAAATAATCGCTTCTAAATACCTATGAGATTTTAATAATTTTAGGTGTGTTATGGAGTTGGATTTATTTCTTTATTATCTTAAATTAGGTATGTAGTTTATTTTATTAGCCGTTTTAAAATTATTTCTACAAGAAATAAAAAAGTAGTTCTATCTCTTTCTTCATCTTTTACGTTTTAATGATTAAACTGTGCAGGTTATGATGTAATTTTCATATAGAGGGGTAAGAATCTTTACACAATATCGATAAGAATGAACTAGACTTTTGCTTATAGATGTTAATAGCGTAAACGCCTTTGTAGTATGTCCTTTAGCTTGGTAGCCAGCTAGTTGTGGTGTTTTATGTTTTCAGAGATTAATATAAATATATCGATCAAATAAACAAAATCTCCTTTTCTTAAACTCACTTAACAGATATCTACTCAATATTTTTTTTTAAAATATTTCCACTAAAATTATTGGCTTTTTTTTCAAAAAGTAGTTTTCAAACATACCAGCTTTCAAACATAATAATTATTGAGAAATAATACTTTTCTTAAAAACGACTTAAAATGGTTATCGTTTAATAACCGATAGAAAATTTCCGCTAGATTTCAAATACAATTCCTTGAATAATTAAACCGTTTTTAAAATAAGTATTATTCTAATCTTCTTTATTATGAAATTAAAAACGCAGTATAGGTGGGTATCATTAGATTTAATATCAAACTTATAATGTCTGCAATAGAAATATTAGTAATTTACATACCGTCAACGTCGATTATAATTACAGTATAATTCATAAATATAATTCTTTAATTATAAATTTTGATAAAGAATAGATATCAATAAATTCGAAATAGATTAATGGTCACTCATTCAATAACAAACCTTTTGAAAAATAGCTTCAACGATCATGTATCGCACTATAGGTATGGACCCCCTTGCTATACATAAGTATGACGCATCTGTCTGTCTATGGCACCGTAGCTCTGAACTAATGATCTGATTCGAATGCGTTTTTTTTTTATTCTAAAGCCTAATTTATCGCAGTGGTTCTAAACTATGTTTTATAAAAACAAATGAGTAATTTTAAAGCTGCATGCACTTAAACAAGACCAAGGAGCTACATATTTTCTTTCAATTATTTGTTATAACAGAATAGCACTGCATATACAAGGTTATCAATGAAACAGTAACACCCATTTTCACTAACCTTAGAACAAGGCAAAGCTTAACTAGGAAACCCCTATTTCTTTTTCTTTTATCCCTTGACATATTTACGACCTGTCATATACGCAAATACCTGGTGCAAGGCATATCGAATGTCAACACTTTAGATATTGCTTAATTTTGTTAGTTGGTTCCTAGTTAATGGTGAAATGTTTATATTATTATTCTTATTCTAAATGTATTTTCACCTTAGGTGATTCCTAAATATTTAACGACAGATTTGGGCGACTCTAAAGTTTAGTGAAAACGGGCATTACACTTATAATTATGTTACAAAATTAATTATTAAAACGCTCATCATATCTGAACTATACGGCAGTGACGGCACTATTGGTTGTTGCCAAATCTCATTGGACAACGCAGCTTGTTAATGTACAATGGTTCAACTGTATTATTGTAACAATTGTGGGAACATAAACCATTGTAGTGTGCCTTATGGCCTAATGACAGGACACTTTGCAACTTTGCATTAAAAAAACTTCGACTGTAATTCCAGTAATCTATATTTTCTCCGAGCCATCCTCAATCACAATATTAATTATGAATAAATCAAAAACCTATAAATAGTTTCAATGTGAGAAGCTAATATATAAAAGTAAATGAAATACTTATAAGAACATAATTTATTTTAATGTTTCTCAATTGTGCCAGCCATAGAGTTCTATAGAGCTAATTTCGGGGGTTCACGAAAATCTTGATCATCTTTCGTCAAATTATCGCAGTTAAAGTAAAATATATACATCATTATCAATTTACACTAACTCCACATAAAAGTATAGTTTAATTTTTATTGTTAATATTTGGTTTTAAAAACTTTTTATTAAAAAAATGGTACCGCCTTAAAATTTAAAAAAGTGAAAAATAAGGCATAACTTAAAAGCGGTTCAAAGAAACATTGAAAACCCTTTTATGATAAGTATTATTTTTCACTTTTTTAAATTTGAAGTTAGGTCATTTTTTTTTATAAAATTTTGAGTTTTGGGTATGTATAAAATGGAACAAAATAGAACCACATGACAAGCACGAGCTTTCAAATAAAGAAAAAACCATCAAAATACGTCGACCCAGTAAAAAGTTATGAGGTAACAAACAGAAAACAAAATACAGTCGAAATGATAACCTCCTCCTTTTTTTAAGTCGGTTAAAAGCCTCAAGTTAAAATTTTGCCAATCGCCAAAATTTTGAGAACCCTGCTCTATGCAAACTTTAAACTCTTTAGACCTTTTTTCCGTATCTTCGAAGGGTCTAATACTATTTCTATACAAAATATCATCTAATTTGTTCAGAGGTTTATACGCGAAAGCGTATCTAAGAGACTGACTACTGCCGCATTTATATACATATAAGTACTTTCGTTTATTTTAAGTATGGTAGAATGGGTCCTAGTTGTCCTACCGACACAATGTTCCTCTTTTATTTTTGTAAAAAACAGGCCGGGATCTATAGGCAAGTGGAGCAAATAATACATACTTACAGTTTAAAAAAAAGAACGAACTTTATAAATCTTTTCATACACATTATAGGCTATGATACGATGAGACAGCCATACTTCAAAATTCCTATATTTTTTTTTAAATCATACACTACAATAAAAAGGTAGAGGAAAGCAACACGAAGTTTCTGACCCGGTTAAAAAAGTTATAGATCCGGACCTGGTAAATAGTGGTTCCTTTATTTTACTTATTAATTAAAATATAAACAATTGTTATTATGTCTATTGGAGCGACAGCAAAAAAGTTAGAAGTTGTTCGACACTATGTATTTAAATAAAAAAAATATACAGAGATATACATAGGTAAGTACATAGCTCGCGTTAAGATAGTTTACCTTTTGTTCCTAAACTACAATGTCGAATAGAAAATGAAAATTTATACGCGATCTCTACATTAGTATCTATTTAGGTAAAAAATCGTAGATAGCTCCTGGTACTACCTAATAGGTAAGTACATACGTAGACTTTCCATAGATAAAGCTGGGGGTTAAATTAGAACACTGTCTCTGTCTATCTCATCTCAGGGGACGGCGAATTATAAAACTAAAAGTAGATTTTTTCTATCGAGAAAATTTTATAAGGTTTTGATTGTGTTGACGTTTCGACAAAACCTTTAAAAGCATGTTATATTTTTTACAATTTTAATTGCAGCTTATTTGGAAGCTATTTCTTAGTATAAAATCAATTGAAGGATAGCTTGTCGTTATTTGTGTAAGGTACCATATCAAAGTACAATAAGTGAACCGTTAATATGTCTCCGTTGTCTGTCTGTTTAAGAAAATTATTTAATAGATACGAAATAATTGATTTGTGCCGTGGCGACTTAATTTCATGCAATATTACTCAATTTTATAATCAATGGTGGGCACTAAAACAGGTTGTTTGGTTGAAATAAATCACAACAGGGGCTTGCTAGCGTACCTAATGCGCGGTCACAGCGTAGACTGAGTGAAGTATCTTATTACTAATATTACCTATACAAATGTTACAAAACTGTTGTAGCAACTCTTAACTGATCTAATAACATCTGTCTTTTCAATTTAGTATTAAAGGACGCTATTTTACTACTTAAAAGTATATCAATATCATAGTTCTAATAAAATCCAAATGAGGAAGTATTTAAAAAAAAAACATTAGTTCCCGAATTCAACCTAGATGTCGCTACGGTACATTCTTGATTTTTCTATGACAACCTTTCCGGTTTTCTTTCATGTTTAAAAGTAAATTAATTTTCAAAACTCAATTAAAAACTCATATTCTATTTGTACTTTTCGT